CTGTCACAGGGCCGAATTGGTACTTAATAATTCTCTACCAGTGTTTCTCTGGCAAATTCTGCTATTTCCTCCCTTATTCCAGTTCTACCTTTCACTTCAGACATCTAACTAAGGTAGATAACAAGAAAAATTAAACTTTCATGATAGACAGACAACCAATACTCAACTACCATGAGACAATTTGTTTAGGCAAACACAACAACTACTTTACATTGTTTATACACATTTGTTGGAAATTCAAGCCTTTCTACCTGGTTTGGTCTAACAGAGGTTGATGGGGTTTTTTTAAATTACTAATTTATTTAAAAAATGAGCAAGTAGGTTTCTTGGATTGACTACAGCTTCCATTCTTTTATGATTCCAGAAACATTTTCTTTCACATATCCTACAAACCAAAGATATTTTGTTGTCAAAGCCAGACACAAAATAAACAGGAAAAATACACGCATACATATGTACCCAAGTTACTTGAAATGACCAAAACACTTATAGTTTAAAAAGCAGGTTAAACAAAAATCTTATACATGCAAAAGTATTAAAGCTGCCCAGTAAATGGGACAATGGTGCTTACTTATCATTTTAAGCTTATTGGCTTTTTCCTAAAGTTTTGACAATTATGAAGTTGACTTGGGGCCAATGAAATTCCACTTACTCAATTTTATCACTCGTACATATATTTCTCACACTCTGATACATAGCCACCATCTTCTGGCTAGATAACACAGTCATCAACTCAACCCAACTTCATTATGAGATGCATCTTGCCTGTGTAAGTAATCTCACAAAATGTCTCATATAACCATAATATTTCTTTGGCTATTTACCATGTGAAAATTCCCCTCCCCAAAAGCTGTGTCCTGACACTTTGCACAAGACAGATGTGCATATACATATACACACAAATCGATCTTGCCTGTAATTCTCGCAAGTTTTCTTCATGGTTGAATGTAAATCTTGTGTCCAGAGCATTTTCTACATTTTCCAACCAGCAACGCAGCTCATCAAGCTTCTTTCTGTACTCTATCAGCTGCTGATTCTCTCCTTTTAGTCTTAAAAAGGAAAACAAAAAACCCACATGCATTTCCGCAGTGAACACAGCATGTCAGTCCTACATTACTTCTGTTCTGATGTAACAGTCACGTGGTTTTCAGTGGTTGGAGCATTTTAAATGATTCATTTTGGTATTCAAAGGATTCTATCTTCACATCATTAAAATACAAGATACTTGCGAGTTAATACTGCCACCTTAAAAACAGATAAATTTCAGTTCCAAAGTCACAAAATAGACTTTTAAAAGTCTTCAGAAAACATTAAGTATAAGTGACAGTAATAACACATTCAGGCCTAATCATTGTAAGCCACCACAAGGCCACTGTTAGTGAAAGTATTAGAAACATCCCTAAACCCTCGAAGGGAAAAATTCCTTAAATCACCCAAAGCTTAAACAGAACTCCTCAAATTAAATAATTAATTAAGAAAAATATTATTACATTTCCAAATGTATCAGGAGATGTTAAAAACATATAATTATATAAATGGCCTCCAAAAATAACTATTCATTCCAGGGACTATCCTTATATATATTTTTTGCAGTAAGAACTGAGGGGTGAACTTATAGTCCCAGATATGCTGAAAATTTGTATATTTATCTCCGACAACTTTGATCTTTTGAAGTAAATTTAAGGCTACTTCAAAACGGATGTTCATTTTGTTCAGAAAATACCTAGTCAGATGGATTAAATCATTGCAAACACAGACCTAAAGATTTTATTTTCTAGTATTGTGGAAATTCAAGACCAATACAAGTGTTTCAGTTAGTGTATCTTTGACAATGCAAAAATAAAAATCAAGGTAATGTACTCACAGCTCAGCTTCAGCCAGAGAAAGTAGCTGAGTATTCCCTCCTAAAAAAAGTCTGGCTTAGCAATGAAGTGATTTTAAAAACAAAGGAAAATTGTAAGAAAAGAAGTTTTGCAGTTGTCATTTGGTGGGTTGTGTTAAACACAGACTCACTAAGCAGTCAATTGCAGGTGCATTTATGAGAAATTGGTTCTAGAAGACAGTTCAAAACACAGAGGTCTGAATGTCAGGAAAATTCAGATTAATGACAGTGTGCAATAGAATGCACTATCTCTCCCAGAGTCTTCTAAATGAGATTCTCCTCATCACATCTGGTCAGACATCCAAATTCCTGATTAACTTATTACCTCTGTTGTCTATCCATGACCTCTGCAGTGATTGTTTTCCAGCGTCTGTTCAATCCCACCAGCTTCTCCTGCAGGAAGCTCCCATCTGTAGCAGACAGTTTCTGTATGATCCCTTCTCCAGTTCTGTTCAATGCTGAAACACTTGTCTGATGGCTGCTGACTCCCTCTTCAAGTTCCTGTCAGAAACGTAAAAGCCACACAGAATTTTATTACTGACCTAAAGTGACTTTGATCTGTGGCTTCTAATATGCAGGATGAATCCTGGGTGCATATTATTTTACTAAAACAGGCACTTAAAGTTGTCTTACTTAAAATTGGATGCTGTGATTTAAGATACTAAGAGTCTGTTGTTGAATCTAGTTCAATTTTCTAATGAGTGTCATAAAAAGCTAATGACACAGAATAGGCTGCCGAATACTACTTAGAATCACAGGAATTCATTTAAACCATCAGTGCTAGAATCCACACTCACGTTTGATTCCTTTCCTCTTAAAGTACAGCACTTTCTAGTAGTGCTAACAGATGGTATGACTTTTTTTTTTTTAACCAGTTCCTTTCATAACCTACCCCCCTATTTCTCTAATTTAACAGTATTTTAGCTAGGATAATTATGGCTGTGCTGCCATGGTCCCCAGACATCACAGAAAATCCATGAAACTAAACGAAGTCAGAAGATATTAGGATCAAAACTTCAAATATCCCTAACCACTACAAAAACCTCATGTTGTTAGTGAAAATTCCTTTGCAACTAGATCAGGAATAAGATGATTCAAGAAAGAGAAGAGAAATGCCCTAGAAGAAAACTCTAAGCAGCAACAAGGATAAAATACAAACCGTATGTCAGGCAGAACATACATTTCTTTCACAATACATACCTAACTCTTGGATAACCATTATTCCCAGAAAAAAAAAAAATATTCCAATCTTTAAAGTTATGTTTTCTTCTCCTTATTTAAAAGGAAGTAAAGTAGTTTAGCTAAACAGAACAGCTTGCTCTTCCATAATAATAAGCTAGAAAGACATCAGGGAATTAAATTCCAGAACTGAAGTCTGAAACAATCAAACCTAAGACATCTGTAATTGGAATCTTCACTTTTTCTAGATTGCTTATACAAGGCAGGATCTTGCAAAGTCATTAGTTCAAAACAATAATTTGCTAATTTATAATTGACCATTGTTGGGCTCCATTTTTTTAATTATGAGTAGAAAGTAAGTGAAATAATATACTGGATTTCTTAACTGATTAACATTTTTAAAACTGTAATGAAACTTAGAAAATAATTCAAATGTTGGCATAATTTTTGTTATCAAACTATCTCAAACCCATCCATACTAAGAGCCATCATAAAACCCCATACTGTAAGCAGGAGCTGAGCTCTTCCCCAAGAATCCTTTTAAACTGCAATTGAAAAAGAAATTTTAAGAGTTACCACTTTTTAATGTGCAATTGCACAGCCTCATTTCAAATCTGTATGTCTGTACAGAAAGTTAGATTTTTAGATAAAAATCTAGACTTGCTTGCTTTCTGCACAAATCATACATACCTGCTGATGCAGCCCAGCTGTCTGCAGGTCCAGGGTGCCATCTGGACCACGGGCATCGGCTAATAACACTTCAGCTTCCGTTATCCAGTGGGAGAGGTCATTGAGATCACAGTGGAACTGCCTCCATGCCTCAATCGCTCTGTCAAAGCCACTGTTTGAAAAAAAAAAAAAAAAAAATCGAAAAATTATCCAAACTGTTTCAGTGAAAAGGCTGTGATTCCTACTGCAGTAAGTAGAAACTTTACTTGTGAAACAGGAAGGTTAATGTATAGCCTGGTCAACAAAGCCCTGGTGCTGAAGGCTTCCTGACATCATAGCAGCTGGTAAAAGCCAACAGCACAGACTGTCATTAACTTCCAGCTGAAGGAAAAAAGGGCAGTCCTAAGCAAACTTTTGTTTCTATCACTTAAAAAATAAAGATTGATTAGCTGCATCAAACTGGTCTGCAGAACCCTTTTTCTTCTTTATTGTAAAACAGATCAGATATCAGTGTGGAACATGGAATATGATTAATTGCTTAGATTTATTTTTTTTTATTCATAAATCATGGGGTGCTGGTGCCTGGAATTTAATGAGTGAAAGTGATTTTGATTATATAGAACTGATTGTATTACCAGTGGGCCTGCATAAGTGGGTCTTATACAATTTAATCACACAATAATTTACCAGGCATTTCATTATTATTACCATCTTTGCAGCCTCAAATTAATGTGTAGCTTAACTTGAAGGGCAGCATTTTCTAGCATGGAAACAGGCTGAATTATCACAGTCAGGAGGTTGTTTTTAACTAAAACAAGAGTTTTACTATGCTAGCAAACTAACAAAAACACCCCATCAATGTGAAATAAGAAAGCCATGTTAGAAAGACATAGAGTGGGCTTGCTTTCTATTTGTTGATTACTAACTCTATGTTACCATTATAAAGCAAATAGGACAGATGTCTCAAAGGACACAGGACTCAAACAACATGAAATCTACATCAGCGCCAACAGACTGGATAGTGTCCCATTCCAATCTAATAAAAATAGTCTTCTTTAAAGACATGGGAGGCCAGGTCTCCTGCTCATCAGAGGACTCTCTAATGTGACAGAGGAAAGATCTCATCTGCAGCCCATTATTTTTGTCTTAAACAATTCCAACAGCAAAGATTCCAGGGTTAACACTTACATACAGATGCAATCTGAAATTAGCAGCTTAACATCAAAGATACCCAAACCCAAACTTTAAAGAGCTACGATTGTATCTATTTTCTTCACTAATTAAATTCAACAATCCTAGAGTTACTACTGAGATTATTTTCATCAAAGTTTTATCTCATTTTTATCAAGACATCCATATTTCTTGGCACATACAGAGCTTTTTTGTTATTATTATTCTTCAAGTGGCCCAATTCTAATAACGAAGAAAGCCTTAAAAATGTCTCTAGAGAGACCCTACCTCCTAGTTCTACTGTTTCAGTTTCCTATGCACATCTCAGTTCAATAGTCTGGACTAACCTGTAGACTGACCCCAAATGTCATTCTCCTTTTAGTTCTCAGGTACATTTTAGTCTAACTGAACGTACTGTCTCACAATAGTATCTCATTCCACGTTTAATGAGAAGAGATATTCTAACACTTAAAATAGTTTTAAAAAATACTTTATTGGCTTCCTTCAAAATTAAAGTTTCTGGGGGAGTTTTGAACACATTACTTTTTTAGAATTCAGAGTTTTAAAACTTTAGAGGTTAAAGCTTTGTATCTCAACATGTTCTCTCCTGTCATTTCTGTTGTGAGCCCACAGTTCCATCAGTATTTTGAGCAACAAGATGAAATTTCACTCTGGTTTTGAGCCAGACACACATACTGCTGTTTCACTACAGACTGCCTAAGCTGAAAGATAAAAGTACCAAAGTCCTATCACTACAGCACGGAGACTTGGCTACTCCTAGCCTCCTCCACAGGAATCCACTTGTTTCCAAACCACAGCTCATTTCCAAGCCACTAACATTTTAAGCACTGGCAGAAAATCCATGGCAGAAGGAGCAGGACTAGCAAATCAGCATCATTACAAACCACTCAACAAAGAATTAAGCCTATACATACACGCACACAAAACTTTCAGACTTGACTTTATACATACGTTCAAGTCAAATTGAAGTCAACAGGATTTAGTTGAACACCTAAAAGCTTTGCCAAGTACAGTTTAATTCAACTTGTGCTTGGCTACATCAGAGCTTTTATCAAAGGTTTAACTACTTAGCTGGCACTCAATCATAAAATCATTACTGCCTCTGAAAACTAAATCAATCTTTTGCCAAAGACTTCAAATACTATTTCTACTAGTTCTGTCAAAATCTCCACCCACTCCAGGAACAGAAAAAAAGCTAGAGATTATTAAGGAGACAGAGTCTTCTAGCCTTCTTGCTTATACTGGCAACACTGGGAAAAGCAAGAATGAACTTGGCTAAAAATTCTTCTTAGTAACAGAAAGGGTATAAAATACTAATGGCAAAATACAGAATTTTAATATTGATGCTAATATTGTCTTCATTAATCAAAGTATATCCTTCTATTAAAATTGTAGCACTTAACATATTCAGGAAGCTACGCACCATTTTAGCTTAAATTGATGGTACAGTAGTCCCTTTTGTATGAAAATCGCACCCAGTATTATTCCTATTAAGATGCAGAGCTTTACAAATTTTATGAAGTTCAAGATTAATTTGTATTCAGTGAACCAACTGAGGAGGTAATCTGTTGTATTTTATCAGCTAATCATAAACATTGAACTTACTCTTAGATACACTTTTTCAATGGGAAAACTAGGTTTCTAGTTAACCTTGGCTACTTAATAAAATGATATTTAAGTAGTAAATGAAATTGTACTGATAATTACAAAAGGATAATATTAGTTAAAGCTTCTCAATTAAGTTGGGGGGGGAAGAGGCATAATTAAAGCTTAGTGCATGTCATACCTATGAAGACAACAAAATAGCTGCAGGCATTTAAATACAGATGGGCGCCAGATTCTGGAGCACTCGTCTCCAAACACAGCAGGTAACCACAGGCAGCTAGCAAGAGCACAGAAAGTGGTACCCAGCTGGCACCTCTATTTGTTTTCAAATTAAAAAATAGTGCAACAAGAGCATCTGCTGACTTATTAGAAATCTTGATGCTTCACTCATCCAATGGCCCAGAGTTTCTGGAAGTCTCTGCTTAGACAATACCACCAACCAATTTTTATATTCCTACACATACACCAGTGCTCTAAGAAAGGTTTTAAAACATCAGCTTACATAACACACACTTCATAAAAACATCTCTTCAAAATACACTACCAAATGCATTTGATATCAGATTTCTGGTGACACTGAGCAAGCAAACATAGCTAGACATTACTTTGTGCTATACAGACCTTCTGCGTTAGCCATTACCTTATATCACCATTAAAAAGAAAATATTGTAAAAGCAAATTAACTACAGTATGAGCCTTTGCATTTAAGTTTCATAGAATCATTTTCAGTCATTAAGGGTTTTTTTGCATAGCAGCAATCTCAGTGTCTACTGCTATTTACAGTGTGAGTACATCTTCAGCTTAGTGGTAACTTCCTGAACACATACTTCCACCAATTCCAACTTAAAATGCCTTTCTGACACACTTTTCCAAGTTTGACTAAGTGGTATTGAGTTTGTTTTTAAGCATTTAAAGATGTTTCAGATAATAAGGCATTTTCAGTTTAGAGCATCTTCTGTAAGGGGTGAGGGAAATTCACATCTTAAGTTTAAACTCTTTTTTTCTCCATTTTTTTTGCATAAGTGCAATTACAGAAAGGAAATAGGAAATACATTTTTCTTAAGCATTGATTTCAATATTCTCTTCTTCTCTCAACCACAAAATTTTCTAATATGGCCATCTCTCATCTTCAATTATTTACCACAAAGATTATTGGCAACTATCCTACATGCTATATTTTAAAAAGAACCTATCCTTTCAAACTCCTTCCCTCCTTCAAAAGCAGCCTTGAATTCTTTGTTAAAAGATGCCTTACTCAACATCTTTCTTGTATAACTTTGCTCTGTGATAGCTTTACAAAACAAAATTTTTATGTTTTATAAACAAAATATGCTATTATATAAAGTAAAAACAATCAGCTTCATAAAAGCACACAAACTACAATTTGCATGTTAACTGTTTTGACAGTCAATAATTCCCGCAATTATTGTGTAATACTAACATATTAAAGCTAATTACTCCCAAACTCTTTATCTTCATCATTAGGGTACATTTGTAAAACACTTATATTCAAGTACACAAAATATTTACCACGTGGTCACAAAAACCAAACATCCTTGACTTACCACTTACGATCATTGTACATTCTATTAATTCTATCCCATTCTGCATTCAACTGGGTTAGCGCATCTCCTATTTGTATCGCCTCAGGTCCAGATGCTTCTAATATAACATCAGGTTGCTTCTCATGTATGACTGCAATTTGATCCCCAAGTTTATCCAAAATATCTTTTACATTCTGCAAGAACAGGAATGACACAAGCCATTAGTAAAGTCAACACCAGCAGGAAATAATAATTAAAAAAAAGGACCAAAAAGTAATATCTTCAAAACACTGTTCCAAAAATCAGTATCTACAATAAGACCGTAACCATCAGCATCAGCAGTTTACAGATTAAATCAGTTTTAGCAACTGGACTGAATAGTCCATCACACCTTTTTAAGCATATGTCCTTCTCAGTTTTTTATGAAGAGGATGAAATATGTTATATATCCAATCTGTTCCTGAGGTAAAGGGGCATACCATACCTCTCAAAACAGCAGTATCTCAATTCCTAAACAAATCTGCCCCGTAACATAAAGACACTGAACATATTCCTTCCTCATGTAAAAAATGAGCCACAAAACATGAATTTATTATGCTTTACGTAACCTCTCATATGCACAGAACCGCAAAAGCATAAGCTACATAAAAGTTTTAGAGTTAAATGACAAAGTTAAAGCAAACTATCTCAAATATCATTGAACTGGGATGCAAAAATACCTTTAAACCAGATGCTGTTGTAAGACTGCCTTGGTATTCAGAGGACAAACAGTCGATGCAAACAGTGGAATTTACTTATCTTTTTGAATTTAAAACAGTAACACTTCTCAAAAGTCTATGCTCTGCTATTTGCTTCTTCTGAAAACATCCTTAGAATATACCAAAATTTCAAAATCAGATGAGAGACCTGCACCAAAATGAAGTATTTTAAACCCATCTTAACATAAACACTCCTAACTGTACTTAAGGGAGCACAGAAGCAGAGTAAACAGGGACAAGAATCACCCACGTTGTCAAAGGGTGGCATCACTCTCCTATTTGCTTTTGAAAATTAGCCAAAAAAAAGACAAAAAATGAAAGCATGTACACAGTAGGTCAGAAAAGCAGGTCAGAAAAATGGACTGAAATTCTGAAAAGCTTTTAAAGAGCCTGTATAACAGCTGCAGAAACCGTTGATCTAACTCTAGGTGAGAGGCAAAGCCTGACTATCTCAAACACAGGACACATGGACCCCACTATGCTTCCCACCCCACATAGGTATATCTACCTGCACCACACCATGTGCAATTCTCTCAAATCCAATGGATGTTTTCTGTGGGAATCTCTGTATCGTGCTCCTTTGCATGTTCAAAATTAAGCAGGACTCAGATTTCTACATACTTTATTCCCATTTGACAGCACGATTCAATATTTTCAAACATACTTTCTTCATCCCCTTTTGAAGGGAAAAACCTTAACTATTACTTCATCATTAATCACACAGTTAAATCCACTGGCTGGCAATGAGGAGAAGTGGGAGCTTAACATTGAGCACATATTGATGCTTTGCTAATCAGAACAGCTACCATTGTCTTGTGGCCTCATATATAGCTTCACACAAAAGTCAAGAATCTCCTTTTCTCCCTCTTCCCATGTGAGCAATTGTTTTCACATGACACAGAGAGTAGCTGTATTAAGACCACTAAGCAGGAACATAAGGAGATTGCCTTTAGCATTTCTCTACATATTATGTAGACAATGTGATGAAAAACTCAAGTTTCTCCAACAAAAGTCGTCCAACCCTTCTCTCCAAATGTCCCACCCAGCTTTCACACCGTTCCACTTTGTATCAGATTCTGCGCAAAAGAAAAATTAGCCACAAAACTGTCTCATTATTTAATTTTCAGTGCATATTGGTCCAGTATATACTGAGCAAAAATACAAATACAGCTATACAGTCACTGAAGCGTTTGTTGGGCTTTTTTTCTGCTATTCGATTCTCCCATTCTTCCTTCTGAATAGAATGTTTAGGCATGCAGTACCTTTAGTGCATCTTCCTGAGTGGAAAAATCCTCATAGATGCCAGTATTTAGCTCTGGTGCATTCAGCAGCAGTTCCACATCAGCCATGGCCAGCAAGACTTTGTTGATTTCAACCAAGTATTCAGCTGAAAAAGGCAACGTCCTAACCCCTGTGGCAAAGTGGCCTTTTAACCTCTGCTGGACAGGGATTGCCTAAAAACATGAAAGTTCATTTTATATTTCAAAGAACAAGCAACTTTATGTAACTTTGCTAGAAAGGTCTTTGATTTGTCTTTTAATGTAGAAAAGTACTTATTCTGAATATAGTATAGTGATTTAGGATTTTTTTCATAAATTCAGAAAGCTGCAAGTCCTGCAGAGAACTGTTTCTATATTTATTTTAAAAGTTAGAAAAAAGTAGATATCATCCTTTACAATGGCCCTGTGTTGTTCTTTACTGAAACTATAGGGACTGGGAAGGTCACTGCTGTTTCTCTCACCTTAGTCCTTACTGTTTCCAGAAATTACACTTCTTGATCAAGCCTGTATCTAGTTGTGAATACACCCCACTGTCTGTTCCCTTCATCATCAAGGACTCCCAGAAGTTACCAATTTATTGAAGCAGACTTTTTCTCCCTCTCCACATTGTTTTCAGTAAGCGTCCCCCACCCACATTTTCCCAACCATTTTTTAAATAAATTAGTGCTCCACCGGTAGCACAATATGCTTTTTGCAGCAATAAGAGACACTAACTCCTCAAGAGCTTGGCAATTGTTATCTCTGGCTGTTTGACCAGGCTATCTAGCCAAGTACCATGTTAGCAGATAAGAAAGCAAGAACAGTAATTTAATGAAGCTTTTTCTTGGATCGTAAATGATGGCCTGGATCTGAAGCATTAGGAATCCAGCTTCAAGAAGCTATACTCTGCCATGCCTGGCAAAGGTAGCAGAGGCAGGTGAGCCAGATAGTCTGAAGACTGAAAGAATTCTTTTGCTGAAAAGGTTTCTTGTCCAACAGGGTTCTGTTACCATCTCTGAAAACAGCCCAGTTCTTTAAAATCAGCAATGAAAAAGTAAACCCACCTCCAAATACTGAACAATTCAAGCAACTTTTAAGCCACTATCCTGTACTCAGTGAATTTGAGTCAAGCAAGACAGAAACAGTAGCACTCGACTGTATGATTTACTAACAGCTGAGAATACACTTAAGAGCATGAAGAATAAATGTAAGTTCACAGCAATTTCAGCCAGTGAATTTTACTTTGCAATTAGTCTGGGCGCACACATGCAACTTGCAGGCACAGCTGACAACCTGTAAAATATTCAGCTCTACTAACACAGTTGTTTGCAAACACCTGTCTGTATCTTCCTCCTCCACATGTTTCTGAGCATTTCAGTTAATTTGAGTGACATATTTGAAATCTAACATATGCAGCATGCGTAGTGAAAAAGGAAAAAGGATTGCAGTAGAAAAAGTATGTTCACGTATTCACCATTCAGGATTTCTTCTCATGCACTGAATACTCCTAAGGATTTTCTTTGTTTTGTATTGGTTTGGGGCTTTTCCTTTTTTTTTTTAATTAGACAGTCATCCCTGGGGACACAGTACTTCCACAAGACCTTTATCACCAAACATGGTATGCTTTCAGTCATTCATTGCACACCAGAGAAATAGGATGTACAGGCACATAAGCATAAATTGAGTCTACTGAGAGCAAGTATTACAGACAAGCATCATAAAATACTCAGCGTTGCTTTTGATTCAGTAACAGTACAGCAAGCACCCCAATAAAAACCAAACTACTCCATACGCTTTAGTTACAAATCCAGCATCTTGGTCCCTGATGCTCACCAAACGTATTTTTTTTGAGGTGTTGTATATATTTTGTCAGCTTCCATCACTGAAATTTGGAGCAAAAGCCCAAGGCTTAGACAGTAGTATGATTTCCTGTGGAAGGAGAGGTCCCAGCCCCCAAGAAATCAGACAAAGCTTGTGCAACTCAAAGTATCTTTTACCCAGCAATGTGGAATAAGCCTGGGTTTGAACAAATACCAGGATGCCTGCTGCAGCACAGTCGCTTGCAGCATCTTCACAGGGTATTTTCTATAACTCTCCATCATCCCACAAGTCCCCAAATGAATAGGTCACTGGACTTCATAGCTTTCTACTTCCCACACATTACCTCCCATTAGAAAAAACTTGCACAAGATTTAAAACAGCATCTGTTGGCATACAGCAAATGTGTTTTCCAGTTGTTGCCAACAATGACATATACTGGAATTTTCTGCTTCCCCAGTAGCACCATCCTGGACCAGGTTGCTGCTCTCTTCTGCAAAGCAGTGAATTCCTCCTGGTGCTGTTCCTGCAGAGTACACCTCATTACTAATCTCATCCAGCTGCCTCCCATCAACGAGACGATGTTTCCTCCTCTCACAACCCTCCTTCTTAAAGGTGAACATATGTAAGTGTTATAAACACATTAGTGCTTTACTACAGCCAAGTTTTAATTGTTCAGCTGTTCTCTACCTTGCACTGCGGACTGGCAGTTTCTAAAATGCAGCATAAAGCACTAAGAAAATGGAAGAGCAGAAGTTTCACATAACTGTCTCATACAAATCAAACATCTAAGTGTCACAGAAACTGGTTTTTTAGGGTTTGGGTTTAGTTTTTTTTAAATTAAAAGAAAAAACAGGCAAGCAAACTCTTTTCTTAAGCACTCACAAATAAAAAGTTAATAAATTTTTTAGGAGGAGATCTGACTGGATGACTTAATAGCTCTTTTCTACTTTTATTTCAGTGGTGACAGTGCATGTTTATGAAATTTTGTCTCTCTTTAACTATTAGGAAAAATCTAAGACTGAGCTATAGCATTGGTGGATAAGGGAAGAGCAACTTATGTCATCTACCTGGATTTGTGCAAAGCATTTGACACTGTCCTGCATGACATCCTTGTCTCTAAATTGGAGAGACATGGATTTGACAGATGGACAACTCGGTGGATATGGAATTGGCTGCATGGTCGCACGCAAAGAGCTGCGGTCAACGGCTTGATGTCCAAGTGGACACCAGTGATGAACCACTCCTCAGGGGTCAGTATTGGGACTGGCACTGTTTAACAACTTTGCTGGTGACATGGACAGATTTAGATTAGATGTTAGAAAGAAATTTTTTACTGTGAGGGTGGTGAGGCACTGGAACAGGTTGCCCAGAGAGGTTGTGGATGCCCCATCCCTGGCAGTGTTTAAGGCCAGGTTTGGGGAACGTGGGCTTGTGGGGGTGTCCCTGCCCATGGCAGGGGGGTTGGAACTAGATGATCTTTAAGGTCCCTTCCAACCTAAACCATTCTATGATTCCATGAAAATACTCAGTTACTAGTGTATATTCTATAAATAAGGGCTCTCAATGGGAGCTGCTAAAAATAATTTTAATTCAGTGGTCAAATAAAAATTTGTTTCCTCCTACACTTGGAATCTAGTTTGACCTGCAATTCAAAAATTGGTTTCAGATTTTCTTCCCCTTTTACATTTAAATATATTTTGAAACAAAATCTACCAAAAGTTCAACTCAAGGAGATATTCTGACTTTCTTCTAAATGCATTTTTGAAAATATTGCCCAAGAAATTGACATAAAATTAAATAATTTACCTTGCATGTTTAACTACATAAACATTTTAACCAGAAATGTTTACTCAGTTTAATCTCAGATCACCACACATTACTTGTCGTCTTTGCAAACAAATACCATTTTGATTAGAAATGCTCACATTTTACCTTTCCTTGACCCTTCTCTCTCATACTCAAAATATTTCATAGTCATTTTTCTAGGAAAATGTTTCCCAAAGCTAAAATCTTATGTCCATTTTATTTGTTCTTCTAGGTTAATTAATGCAGTCAGTAAGCATCGTATTTGTGGGCAATGTAGCTAATGGTTCATATTTAAGTAACCCAGAACCTTCCCTATAAGAAGCACAATAAGCAAACAAACATGTTTTCTTTATTACAGGAATAATACTTCAACAGCCTTCAAAATGGTGTCTGTGTTTCAGTTTATAGGAAAAACTGCACTGTGCCTGCAACAGCAAATTCACTTACCATCTGCAAAATTATCATTTTCACTTCAAAACAGTTTTCTAAAACCTGGAAAAATCTCTCAGGAACTTTAGTCAACTAATTACCTCTGCAATTTAAGGTTTAATTTTTCCTTTCCCTCATTCCGAACCAAGTGAGAACAGAGCAATTTAAATAAAAACTAAAGCAAAGTCAGAAAAGAAGGAACTCAAGGAGATAGAAACTTCCGATGCAGGCTTTTCTAGCTAACAGATTTGTGGCAAAACAAGGGTTATTCAGAAGTACCTGCTATGCAGAAGGGTTACCAATATTTCAGAGACACTTAACTCCATAATCCCTAGAAGCATACATGATGAGGAATATTTATGATCCAGCTACTTCCAGCAAATCAATATATAGATATATATGACCTTCAAGCACCATAAATCAGTCCTCTCCTCCACACTCATATACAAAAACATAAATAATGTATTATGTAAAATCTAAATTGGAGTCTCCTCCCCAGCTTGCTGGCTGAAATCTTTCTTTCCATCCCCGTTTGTTCATTTCAAACACTAGTTTCTCTTCCTCTGCTCACTGCACCTTCCTTACATCAAGGTGAGGGGCTGAGCCAGCTGTACACCAGTGCGTCAAGAATTCATTTAGTGCCTCTCAGTCCTGAGCTAAGATGAGCAAAAAGCACTGCAATTTCCTATTTGGTAGTCTGGAGGCCCTATGGATACATCCAGGCTTTCCCTTTCCGCACCTTCATCAGACATCCCTACTGACTACAGGAGGAAGAGGAGGGAGGGTGTTCAAGCACAAAATAGATGGTAAAAATTGGGGAGGGGCAGTTTCTGTTGCAGATTTTTAGCATTACAGTCCTGTGTGTCATTGTCCTGTGTACCCCCACCCTCCACCCCCCCCAGTGCTGAAGGTAAGTCAAGTCTGGTTTCTTGAAGAAAATTCTGGAGCAACTGTGTTCATCTAAAATGATGATGATATTTGGGAACACTATTTCTCCCTTCAGAAATCATATAGTCACACACTATTTTTGGTGTTCAAGACCAATTACTAAAGCAGGTGAAAGAACAAGCCTTAAAAGTAAAATATCATCACCTGAGATAGGCTGGTTTACCACTCAAATATCAGAAAGCAAGAGGCACAGGCACATCAAGCAAAAGCAGCAATTTCCAAGTTTCACAGCAGTAATGAAAACTGCTGTGGTCATTTCTGAAAGCCTAGCTGACTCAGTCAAACTAGAAAACTACATCTGGAAGTATAAGGGAATTTTTACACAACTAATCCTGAGGAAAGATAACGTTTCTCCATCAATAGTCTATTGTAATTGCTATGGTAATCCATATTTACATGATATTCTGCATTCAGCACCCACACACCAAAATGCAGTAATCCAGCAGTGCCAGGGATTAGCTGCAGAATATCCTTAAAGAAAAGGGCTTTATAGGAGGCCAAGGATCTTCCTTAGAGAAGATCAGTCAACCTGCAGTGAGACCAACAGTGACAAGGAAGACCAGTCTGTAGCACAACTGGACTACTCCCATTAGGAAAAAACCACCCATGTGGACCCTTTTCCCTGTTGAATCTGGTAATTGATCCACTCAGAGCAGCTGATGGTCAAGCAGAAAAACTGAATCATGTTGTTTTACTTTAAATGTGTATAAATCTCCATTTTCTTCAAACAAATTCCCTGGCATCAGTCAGGTCCCAAGGAATCATAGAATGGCATGGGTTGGAAGGGAC